TATAATATATTACATGATTTAAAAGTATGACGCGTGTGACCTTGAAATTCGAACAAGGACATTAAGTTGAACAGAGTTTAAAGCCTATCATCCCAGCGTGCTTCTTGCCAAATATCATTACCATGGACCTTTTAAATATTCAGAACAAGTCATTCAAAGACTTAAACATATGTGGTTCCTGTGACCTTGAATATGAGTGAAGGTCATTCATTTGACCAAACTTGGTAGCCATTCATGCCAGCATCTAACTGGCAAAATATCATAACCCTAGGCCGCTTGGTTATTGAGAAGAGGTTATTTAAAGGTTTTAAACATATTTGACCCATGAGACCTTGAAAATGGGCGAATGCCATTTGTTAGAACAAACTAGGTAGACCTTAATCTCAGCATGCTATTGGCCTAAGATCAATAGCATAGGCCTCTTGAGCAATGTAGTTATTTAAAGAGTTTAAACATATTTGACCCCTGCGACCTTGAATATGGGTGAAGGTCATTTGTTTTTACAATCTTGATAACCCTTCATCCCAGTATGTTACTGGCCACATATCTTTATCCAATGCCTCTCGGGTATTCAGAAGTTGTTTAAAGGTTTTAAACATATTTTACTCCCGTGGCCTTGAAAATGGGTGAAGGTCATTTGTTTGAACACACTTGGTAGCCCTTCATCCCTGCTGCTACTGGCCAAATATCATCACATTAGGCCTTTGGGTTATTGAGAAGAAGTTGTTTAACGGTTTTCAACATATTTGACCCCTGTGCACTTGAAAATGAGTGAAGGTCATTTGTTAGAACAAACTTGGTAGCCCTTCATCCTTGACCTTTTGATAACACAGAAACAGTCGTTCAAAGGTTTTTAAGAAAAATGCCCCCTGTGACCTTGAAAATGAGTGAAGGTCTTTCGTTTGTACAAACTTGGTAGCCCTTTATCCCAACATACTTCTGACCAATTATCATCACCCTGGACCTTTCAGTTAAACAGAAGAAGTAGTTTTAAAGTTTTTAAGACAATTGACCCCAGGGTCCTTGAATACGGGCGAAGGTCTCTTGCTTGAAACTACTGGCCAAATATCAACACCCTAGACCATTTGGTTATAAGAAGGTTTTTTTTTTTAAAGTTTAAACATATCTGACCCCCCACCCCCACCCCATCCCCCATGATATGTTGCCAGTACCATGTTTAGATGGAGGGCTACCAAGTTGGTTCAAAAGAATTACCTTGACTTACATTCAAAGTCACAGGGGTATAATATGTTAATAACCTATAAACTACTTCTGATTAACCGCAAGGTCCAGGATAAAGTTTGGCCAGTAACATGGAGGGATTAAGGGCTTCTAAGTTTGTTCAAACGAATGACAATGGCATTTAGTTACAGTCACAGGAGTCAACTATGGTTTTAATGTTTAATCGACATCTTCTGAATTATTATCAGGCCCAGAATATTGAAATATGGCGAAAAATGTGCTTGAATGCAGGCCTACCAAGTTTTTTTTTCTCAAATAAATGACCTTGACCTATATTTAAGGTCAAATATGTTAAACACCTTAAAACAACTTATTCTGAATAAGTAATAGGCCCATAATGATGATATTCGGCTAGTATCATGCTTTGATTAAAGGCTACCATGTTTCTTCAAACGAATGACTTTAACCTATATTCGAAGTCAGGGGGTCACATATGTTTTACAAAAAAACTGCTTCCTCTAAATAACCAAAAGGCCTAGGATTTTGATATGTGGTCAGTTTCATAATGATAGGCTCCCGAGTTCGTTCAAATCAGCTACCATATACTAATGTTCAAGGTTACAGGGGTCACTAATCTTAAATATATTTCAAACGACCTCTCATTAACCAAATGTCCAAGGGTGATAATATTTGGTCAGTAGTATACATAGTCAAAGAGATAGATCAAATGAATGAATTTAACTCAATTCCAGTGTCACATGAGTCAAATAAGTTTAAAGTCCTTAAATGAATTATAAATAACGTTAAGGTCCAAAATGTTGATACCTGTTTAGTTTCACGCTGGGATGAAAGGCTACCAGTTGTGTTCAAATGAATGAAAATTACTTTTTATTCAAGGTCACATGGATCAAATAGTTAAAAATCTTTAAACGACTCCTTCTGAATAACCATTAGGCCCATATTGTTGATATCTGGCTAGTAGAATGCATAGATAAAGGGCTTCCAAGTTTGTGTAAATGAATAACCTTGACATATATTGAAGGTCAAAATGGTTCAAATATGTTTTTATTCTTAAAACGACATATTCTGATTAACGCTGAGGCTCAGAATATTGATATCTTGCCAGGGCCATGTTAACTTGAAATGCTTCCAATTTGTTCAAATGCATGATCTTGATTTATTTTTAAGGCCATATGGGTCAAAAAAGATTAAATGACCTCTTCTGAATAATTATTAGGTCTCGAATGTTGGTATTTTGCCAGTACCATGGTTTGATGAAGTGCTGCAAAAGGTCTTCAAAATGAATAATTTTTGCCTTCATTTTAAGTTCATAGGGTTCAAATATGTTTTAAACATTTCAATATCTTTTCTGAGGAACTATATGTTGATGTTTGACCATTAACATGTTTTGATGAAGGGCTATCAATTTGTGTTCATATGAATCACTTTGACCCACTTTCAAGTCCACATTTACTCATATGCGTTTATTCATTTTAATGCCCTTAATATCTCAATATACAAAAGTTAGGTATTTAAAAAAGAGGTTATATTTCACACGTTGCATGCTAAGATGAAGGGCTACACATGTTGTTCAAAGTAATAACCTTGTTCGTCTTTCAACGTAACAGGTGTCAAATGTGTTTAACAATTTTAATAAGTTCTTTGGTGTGGTTTCTAGTCATAAATATTAGTATTTTGCATGTAGCTTTGTTTTAGTCCTCTTTTAAAGTTAAAAAATAAGATTAATACCAAGTTGTTAAAGTTCTAAATACTTTTTGACGGTGCTCTCTTCTTCTCCTTGAATTTTGCCATTTCCCTTGTAGAATTGCCAAATCCATATTCCTCTGTTTTGTTTAAAAAGTATTTCAAATAGAATAGATAGCCTCAAGTTTGTAAGTCAAATATGGCTACATCATAATGCCTCATACAATTAATTAGTATTAGTTATTGTGTAAAATTGCACCAAATTGCACCAAAAAAACGCACCAAAAATATCGTGCGCACACCGTGCATACATCGTTCACACACCGTCCGCACATCGTCCACACATGGTGCGCACAACTGGGCGATTTGACAGTCGTTCGCCCCGTTGTGCCCTTCTCTCCGCAGAACTGTGCGATTTGGTACAATTTGTTGATCAATATTACGGAATGAAAAAATACGGAAGGCTCGTACTAGTATACAATAATGTACACTGTATTTATTATTGTAATTTCTCGTCACAACAATACGCATTATGTACAATTTAACAATGTATGTAACACAGTAGTACAGTGACCGTTACACTGTCAAGAATAAATTTGGCTCCTAGCTAGGTAATAGAACAGATAAATAACAATTTGATGAGTTACCGGAGTTTTACCTGACCTGTGCCTAACGGGTAGAGCTGATATATGATACCGTATACCGTTATGAAAACACAACTGGACGTTTAGTATTTGTTATTTGCATTCGTTTTAATCTAAATCTCCCCTTCAACTTGTTTTCACACCTTGGCGGGTTACGTAAGTGCCCCGGGCGGGGGAACATTACGGTCAAGTTACAAAGTTGCTATGTTTACCTGTGTTGCCGAGGCTGTTTTGTAAGGTCGTTTAAAAAAAAAACGAAAACACCATTTCTAAAGTATAGACAGAAAGATAAGCTTGTAGATGAAGGTAGAATAGGGAAGGAAACCTACTAAAAAAATCAAGTGTATATGTCTAAACAGCAAACCGTATATATTGTTAAGCCATTCCTCAATTTACACCAACCACGATTGTTATCGCACAACGTTCGTCGATCGTCCGCACAAATGTGCGCAAGCAATGATCGTCCAATTTTTTATCGTTCGCACTTCGTACGCACATCGTTCACACACCGTGCACACATCGTGCGCACACCGCACACCACACGTTGTGCGATCCCACAACTGCACATAAGATTGGTGATAGTGTATATAATGTGCATAATGTAAGCGCGTTTGATGGAGAGGTCTGTTGGTGTACATTCCTCTTTACATTTGCGGATTCGATGCTGGATTTAGGATGCTACTAAAATACCTTGCCGACGACACTGGTACTTTTTCGTTCAATTTAAAGTTAACAATACAGTTATGAGTACAGCCAAGTATCCACTACGGAATAGTCCGGTCTCCGTTCGGTTTACGTCCGTCCTGCCTTTGAACAACATCTGGCTTGCTGCAGGTAATCGTATGTAATGCTTTAACGGTCGAATCGTATTGATCGGCTTTGTACTGCCCGTTAATGTCTGCCGACTACGCAAGCTTGTCACGATATGTCGACCGCTGATTCAAAGTCACGGATGACCACTGTTAGTTTTACGTAGTGTCGGTATTCATCTGTGACGTTAGATCAGCCGCTACCGACAATTTTCAATGTTGTCACTGATCAGAGATGTGTACAATATTATTATTATGGATACAAATATATCGTTTTAATATATTCCTCCCATCGTCTCCATCGCTCCAGTGGCAAACCAGCCACTATTTTATTTCGGTTCGACCGCTGTCTAAAGCAAATACTTTTACCATTAATGATGCTACAAATGGTATAATGAGCGATTGTTTACGTCCCTAATCTAAGGGAGCAATTATCTACAGGTACAGTTGGTCGCTGACTGAAGGGTAATGGTGTGAGGGATAAATCTCAGTTTCCACTCAGTTTACTGTTCCCGGGGGTTATGTGTTCGTTATCCCTCAGGACTTCTGCACTAGTGAATCTCTGTACGATTAAGTAATACTGTGTATCGAGTAACAAGTGTCTTCCCAATAGCTAATATCTGTTTGTTTTGCTATATACAGGTTATAATTATTTTACTAGGTGGGACAAGAGTAGTCGTTAAATACGGGCAAGGCAATAACATTTCCTGTACACAGGTAAAATATATATCTTTATAAAGTTTAGAAACGTTATCTGTTTTCCTTTTTTTCCTTTTTCTGTTACTTGGAGCACTCTTGGGAATATATCAATAGGTCCATCGATTATCTGTTAAATGTTTTTCGCGCAGAATGGCGATAGTTTAGGCCCAATTACAGGTATATGTAGATCAGGAAATAGCACCATTTGATTGGTTCCTGGTTTTATGTTTGTGCACTCTGATATATCGCAATGCGTTATGTTAGATCAAATTACATAAATGCATATGCAACGATAGAGAGAATATGCAAAACAAAATTGCATAATTTGTAAGCGAGCACATATTTTTCGCTCGTTCTGTATGCTTTGCTGCTCATGTTTTTTTATGGTTTTCAGTTTACATTCCATATCAGCTTTAAAAGTAAAAGGAAAATGATGCGGTTATTATCATCACAACAACTTGAATAAATATATTTAAAGGGGCATCACGGTGAAGTTACTTTTTGGGGGGTCTTTTTTACAAATACTACATAAACATATCAAGTGAGACTCCTTATGAAAAATAACGTTCGGATTCGGCTGAAATAGATTATAAAGTTTATTAAATCTAATATAATCATCGGTTTTTCTACCTGTCTGACCAACATTTTGTTGAGGGATTTCCCCCTACTAGCGCATGCGCATATCACACCATTTATTTGTAAACAAAACGACTGGCCGTGTGAAGTAAGCGCAAGAAAAGTGTTGTACCGTGTCACCAACGAAGCGAAAAGTTGCCAAATGGTCAAAAGATAGCGTAGGGAGTACCTTACGGAATCATTATTGCAGGTGGGAAGTATTCAAAGGTTGAAAATAACTGCCCTAGCAGTTAGTACGGTGCATGTATTCTTACGGATACCTGGTTCAGCTGAAATGGAATCGACATAAATGCTATCGCTGTTTATGTTATGAATAAATATCTAAAACTATTAACCTCGCTAGTTTCTTTGTCTGAGTTTGAACACAGATGAACTTAGTTTAATATGTTAATGGGCATGCATCGGAGAGAGTTTACTTTGGTTTATGCGAAAGGAAGGGATAAGTGACTGGTTAGTTTGATTTTGGCATGAGGCCCTCCAAGGGATAACTGTTGTGACGGTCACAGCGCTCGCGCGATCGGGGTCACACGTGCGCGATTAGATTTAAATAATTTATAATATTACCGGGTTCAGTAAAACGTTATGATTTAATCATATTGCTGAATTAAGCGATTTTTGTTTGTTTTTGCATGCAGTAATTAAATTAGTACTAATATGAATACCAGGCCTCCTCTGGCTCGACGACGCAAGATATAAAAAAGTGCTCTTCGTCAGAAAGCTTGGTTATCGCAGCTGGATTAAAAATGTCAAAATGACGGACCAAGATGGATAACTGAGGAAGGAGAACCTACTTTAGTAAATAGGATCGCATAACTTTTTTTTTTAAATCGTAATTTTTCAACAGTTCATCTTTTCATATGAATTAATTTTCGACTTCAGATAGAATCAGTACGTATTAAAAACAGGGGGAAAAAAATGTTTACGTTGTAAAAATGACGCGTGCTGCCGATAACTTCGTCTTCTGTTTCGGACAACAAAGAAATGTTTATAGAAAAGTTGTCTCAACATAAAAAAGGGTCCATTTACATGAATGCTTTACTCTATGTAAAGTATTGAAAAAATATAATGATCAAGTATCTCAACACGTTCCATATCTGACACATATTATACATGTACTAAGTGTTAGCATATGGAGACAGTGAAAGTGGGAAAGAGAGTATACATAACTGTACATGCATGATCTAGAAAAAAAAATGCCAAAGACATTGAGTTGTACAATGTAATAAAAAAAAATCACAAACGTTTCTCTTTTGTATACGCGTGTAGTTTGTCATTGCATATATGCACTCTATGAAAACATTTGAAAAGGGATATTCGTCTCGTGAATATTCCGTTTTACAGAAAGGTTTGTCCCATGGTCCCCGGTCACATTCCGGTACTAAATTCAATATATATATATATCTACTTTATGTTTATGCCTATTATCATGGTTGACATTTAATTGTAAATGTATGACGGGAGAAGGCTGTGATAAATTGTAAAAACTTGTGCCCCCGTCCCTTGTTTAATTCTATTGGCACCAAATATATGTTTTAAGCTAAATACAATTAAATTATGAGTATTGGCAAGTGTGCAATTAACTTCTGATGATGAATAATTACTGTTCAATAAGTTTGAATACGGACTTAGAAATCATATTATTTGGCTTCATAGTGCGGTAAGAAGCTGCAGTTACCTGACAGCCTCTCTCTGGGGGTCCCTTCGGAAACCGTTTCATCTCGCTCAGACCACTTGTTTTTACTGCCTTTCCCGAACAATTCAAGTAGTAAAACTGGACATTTGGAACGGACTATGAATATGGGGATAGCGTGGTAGCATAAGCAGAAGTGCATAAATACATACATTCATTAAAAAAATATGGCTCTTCACGTGATGTCCCATTAATTGTATAGTGTAAAAATTCTAATAGCATATACGATAAATGAATATTTGTGTCTTATGCTTATTAACGTTATCAATATCCGGACGCGTCACTACCATTAGGTAAAAAGAGGTAAACTACATGTAAACTTATTTAAAATTGACTTCAATCTTTCCAAGTTTTAAGCTAGCAAAATATTCTTTAGCCATGTCATTCAGAGGCACGAGCTATTGGTAACTAGATTATCTGTTTATGCAGAGGTAAGATAAAAGGTGTGTAAACTGTCTGCAAACTTTGAATGTGATTGATACAGACTTGAAAGTATGGTATATCTCTCTCGAAAAAAAGTAAAAACGATGATTGTATTCATTGATTGATGTGTGTACACTTTTGTTTTACATTTACGTTAATATGGATAACCGTTGGCGATTCTATTATAACCTTCTCATTTTGATGACACTTTTACATGAAATACGTGAATTCTTCCCGTAATTATCAAATAGATTCATCATGGCTAAAGTGTTTTCAGGGGGATTCAAATCGTATTCTTTAGTTTAGACGGACTAAGATTAGAACGCGGTTAACAGATTCACTGATTTACCTACATGTATAAGTATAATCCGCTTAGCGTCTGGATATCAGGCAATCATATTTCGGTAAACGTCTGGGCACCATTCATCCTCCGTTCGGTTACAAGATAGTGGATCCATTTCGTAGTTATAACTATATCAAAGGGCGTTGCTAGGCATTTTCGACCCCAGAAAAAGTAAAAAAATCAACATTATATCAGTTATTTGGCTCTCTTTCTTGGTACATATTGTTTTCCAATGCACATGCGTAGAAGCCCTACCAAAGCAACGAAATTGCGTTGCTATGCAGGTATAGACAAAGTATGGAGTGTTTGGACAGTAAGCATGCAGAAATAAAAGCCTCCGCATGTGACAAACAAAAAATCCTTCCTGCGAATGAACACTAGAATGACAATGTTTAAGCATCTCATATATTTATTTGTTTGTTGCATGTGGAGACTTTCAAAAAATAAAGAGTGTTCAGTTAATCTCCTTCGAAATGGACAATATTCAACAAAAAAACGCACAACAGATAGTAATCACACATTTCATTACGAAGATGAAGGTTTATGTCTCTTTTTGTAATGCCATATCTCCTTTACCAGTTGTCAAAAGAATTTGTAATTTCATTTAAATTCTATTATTCAAGATTACAAATATAACAACAAGTTCCAAATCGCCTATTAGACTGAAAATGACCCTTAATACCCCTAGCCCTTTACTAATTGTAATAATCACTAAATGATTTGAAGGGATTAACGACCACATTTTGTGACTATTATTTTCCTGGCTTGGATAGAACCCTTCCTTAGTGTAGCAAGCGATCAAATATGATGCCATAGGTAAGGCATTACTTAGAAGAATCAAGTTCATTTGGTTTTCTTTGGTTAAACGTCCAATTACCAGGCATGGTCGACAATGGCCGCCGTTACAATTTCATTTTTTTCTTCCCGTGATTTTTCTAGACGTGTTTTCAGTAACTACAGGTGGGATTACAATAAAGTGAAGGAGTATTAATTGCATACCTTTATTTTGAACACTGCTTATCTAAGATAGCCATTGTAGCTTCGGGTCAAAAGTGTACTTCGGGCGGTATGTTACAGTATGTACCTCATTGCGTTCGTGCTTATCCGATGATGACTTTATCGTGCTACCTTGTTTAAATACCATTATTGATTCTTAATCTAGAAGATGAATCACATAAAGCATTCGTCGTCTCAAAAGGTCAATGCAATTTTAAGAAAGGCATTATTTGTGAAGCCAAAATCATGTGTTTACATGTTTGTAGGACAGATGTGGGTATTGTCAGGAAATTCAAGTTAACGACTAAGCAAACAAGTCAGATATCCGGATTTGAAGACAAGAGCTTTTGGTTATCGTGCTACATATCTCATCAACTGTTCTGTCTAGTTGAAACAATACGCAACCAATCAATAAAGTAATTGGACTGATGCTATCAGCCTGTATGTGTCATGCAATGAATGGATATTAAATTACTTACCCATATATGTTGCTGCATTGAAGCGAATAGAATCATCATTGATACAACAGTGGTCGACTTGACTTAAGTAACCAACACGACGATGTCAACCAAACGAAGATATTTGTTTTGATACAAAATCAATTAGTTACCTAGGAAATTATTCGGGATAAAACAGAAGACAACTGGTTTGAAGTGAATTTAGAAAAACAGAACGTTTTGGCATTTGCTGGAAAAACAATATACCTAAAGTGCAAAAGAAATTAATGAATCTAGGAGGGTTTGGTTGGTTTTATAATGTTAATCGTCCTATCAACAGCTGAGGATGTGCCGGTATGTGTTTTATGAATGCGTCCATGTGTGATTGTGTGCTGGAGGCAGGGTATGCTGGTCTACTAGCACATACACACATACACAGCACAAATGGAGGCACGTCCATAAATGACTCAAGCTATTAAAATGACGTTAAACAAAATATAACCATAAATATCACGTTATAGTGTAATTTCAAATTGATTAACACTACTACAAAACAGCACACTTCGGTTTTCATACGTTCTTCTGCCTGACACCAGCTAGGGTTTACATTCGAAATTGCAATTACCTAAAGCAAACAGATGATATGGTTCCAGGTAACAGAGGTGACATTAAAACAAAAATGAGTAAAGTAAAGACAAGCTGATAGGTAGGATTAATTTCTTATTGTTTAGGATAGTAAAACCAGTGTTGTTTGAGCAATCCCGTAGGTCTACACACTTTTTAAAATAAAGGCCATGATAAAGCATTATAAACGTTGGTTCAAGGTACAGAAATAGAGCAATACCTAGGTTTACACACTTTTTAAAATAAAGGTCATGGTAAAAGCCTTGAAAAGGCGTCGGTTCAAGGCAGTTATAGGGAGGGAATTACATACTTATTAATTTCTTAGAGTATGTTTTCATCACTCAAACGCATTGAAATGTTTAACTTTTAATGAACAGTGTTAGGCATAACATGAACAATATACAAAGTTGATGTCTAGTAGGGAGGACGTTTTTACAAAATTCGTTTGCAACATCTTTTGTTCAATTTGTGAGATAATACAGGCATATAATACTTTGCAAATTGATCACGTTCACTAGGCATGGAAATCAGTCATGAGGAAATGATGATGTTTTGCAACTAAATCAGACTGTTAAAGGGAGGTGGGGTTCAGTTAGTTTATTACAAAACGGTCCTGCAACAGTGACGTCGTATCGGGCTCTACAACAATAATAAGGGACAATTACAAAACTGAACATTAAATGTTTAAAAACTGAACAAATATGTAAAAAGAGACAGCTATTATCATAAATAGAATTTAGAAATTTCAACGTTTTATGGTACAAACAAATCTCACGCAGATATTGGAAATATTTAACAACTTCAGTTGAACAATGTTTTCATATAAGGCACGTCATTATATTCGTCTAAAATCGGCACATTTGATCCATTTGTGAGGCACAGTCATGCGTTTGTTACATGATTAATAAAGAGACCGTGCGAAATCGTAAAATGACGATATCCTCTCTACTGTCTTTTTTGAACAAATAGTTGTTGAATCGCGAATATTTCATTGTTAATCTTATCTGACTATCTTTGTTGCCAGTTACGTTTGATGAAACTAGTAACATCAGGTTTAAAATCACAGTAAGGTATTGCTTGGGTTGCAGGTTAAGTGCTGAAAAAGAGTAATCACCAGCAGATATAGTGTTTTTTTCTTCCACGGCATCCACTTACGGGATGAGCTAGAAAATAGACAAGACTTTCCGGTTAACAAAATATTAAACAAACATGTGCAAATCGGTGCACGATGGTACAAAAGCACAAGTTTGCGCAAAAAAATCATACCGGGAATCTAAGGGTAAAACTTATGTTTGAAATAATTCAGTCAACAATAAAACCAATCGTATATCAAGGGAGCGTTTATAAAATAAACTTGGCAGCTCTTGTGTATTATCGGTGACATCCTATAGAAGGCATTTATAAATAAATTGTTGAGGTTAGGGGAGGGTACGTGTTTGTCTCCTGCAACTGGGCTAATGCAGACACCGTAACGAATATGCCCCTCCCCATTTGCAAAACTTTTTACCTACATCAAAGTAGAAAGGGAACAGAATCTGTCCACGCTGTATATCATATGCTTTATTTATATAATTACCAAAAACGAAAGAAACCCCAATATATTATAAAATGGAGGGTGGGAACCTACACTGTTCCTATAAATAAAAGGGAAGGGTGGGGACATACACTGTACGTATACATAAAAGGAAAGGACGCGGACATACACCATAGCTTCACGTAAAATGGGGAGGATAGAGAATGTACTGTACCTATACAGCGTTAGTGTATTAGCGTTCGATCATTATTGTGTTTTTCTATATTACAGACATTATGCTGAATTTCTTCGTCGATGCCGCCGTTGTTGACGGCAACGCTGTCGCCGCTGCTGCCGGCACCGCTGCTGCCGGCGCTACTGCAGCCCTCATCGCCAAAAAATACTGTACGTTACCCGTATTTTCTTTCAAAGAGAAGTTTGAGTTACAATAAACATACCATGAGTAAGCTTGAATGTCCCGTTTCCATTATCATTTTGTTGTTTAACTATTGCTTTTTAAACGCGAAATTGTTGATATTGCGATTTGTTCCAATACAAAAACCAAACATTTATCCCGAATTTCTGCTGCACTTAATTTAATTTTAATTGCTTAACCATATGTTCATTTTTTGGTGTATATTGATGACCGGAAAGCATGATATGCTGAACCATTGTCTTGGAAGGCGATCATCATTGTGATAGTTATATTTGGTGTTGTTTTGTTAACGTCCTTTTAACAGCTGATGTCATTTAAGGACGTGTCTCAATGTGTGTTGTATATGCGTTTATGTGTGGATGTGTACAAGAGGCAGGGTATGTTCGTGCAATTGCCTCTTTGTGAAAGCGCAGATACATGATCGTGAACCTACTTTAAGATCGAATGGTGAAAATGTGTTGATAACATTTATGAAATCTGAGATACTAATAGGCAACATTTTATGATATTTTGGCTGATAGCATGTTCGATTGCAGTATTGCTTTTTTCTGCGGATTTTTGTTTTATATAAACTTAAAGGTAAGCGACGCAGGCCATCTTTGCGTCATGTCTGATCGGTCGACGTCGTCATTTATAAATGGTGTAAAATTCATCGATAATTAGCAAATTATATTTAATTTTTTATGGTTTTGAAATATGGAAAAGGTGACAATTCCAATGCAAATAATGTTTTGAAAAGGTCAGGAAGAAGATATGATATATATATTCCTTCAGCTTAAGTTTAAATTCAGTATGTTGTCTCCTTTTAACACATCCGAGTAAGAGTTCTCTATTTTACCTAGTAAAACAGAGGATACGTTTATTCATCTTAGATTCCCTTATGCGTATACATTTAGATATCAGAAGGATATAATGTATGTCATTTTGTCATGGAAAAGGCGTAACCCCTGATTTCGTTGCTTTTCTCAGCTGTTTTATGTCTGTTGTTTTAATTATGACTAATCATTTTCTATCCATAGATCCACAGAATGGTAAGTATATATATTTTATCAGTTTGATCATCTGCATCAAGATTGTTCAAAGACATATGAAAGTATAAAAAGTAAACTTATCTTTTCTTTTCTCATAACAAATAAGAAAACACCACAAACATATCACGAGCATGTCAAACTTGATGTACCTCACGAGTGTTAAGCATGAGTGAACAATATTGGCTTGGTTTGTATGTGATTTAACGTGCGTTTAACAACAAAGGTCATGACATTCCCCAAGATCATCTCCAACAAGAAAGAATAATAATTGACAGAGAAAGGACAAATATCCAAAGTTTCAAAATAAGGGCAGCATATCAAATTTGGTTTCTTCAATATCTTTTAAGAGAAGACTTAACAATGTTTCCGACTATGCAATGATGTGGTATCTGATGTCTCTCATGATAACATGCTCTTAAATACAATTTAATACGTTCCTTGAACCCGAAGAGATTTTTAAAGGATACGTATTTTTCGTGACTTGTGGTCACAATTCAAATGCGATTTCATCCTAAAAAAATAAACTAATTAAGTTACAATCAATTAAGAATACTGTGTCAAAATATCTATTGTCTTTATGTATGTGAATTATGGTTAAGGTAATGAACAGGTAACACGGCATGTTAAGTACATTTCCGAAAAGACGAAAATGTATAAATAAGCACGCTAAATAACACAGTGTTTTTGTTACTACTACATTCTGTGGTCACGGCAGTCAGAGGCCACACACCTATCCTTGAGTAGACACGATCTCCCTTTCTGCAAGATTCCCCTTAAATTGTTTTTAACAAAATTCTGGAACACCATCAACTCTTCTACTTCCACATGGATTATATAGAGGTAGTTACAACATCAAGCATATAGTTCTATGAATCTTGAATACCGACTCTCAACTCTAAAACTCCCTATGAAATTCTTCCTGAAGTACATGTCACGACCATGTGACACAAAAATATTCATTTGCATGTACCACCTGTCTTGTATATATGTTATGAGACACGTGCAGAGATGAAAAGTAACTTTCTCCCATCAAAACGTACATGTCTTATTTTTCGTTAGTTATCTCTTAAGTTTAACCCTATGACTGATCGTCAACAGATGCCTGCCTTCACTATCTTCCCGTGCAACACTGTACATGCCAATTAAGGAACGGCCTTAACCAGATTATAGGATTCGACCTCAATTGCGTTTTGTACCGACTTGCTTCTCTCTATTTATATAACTCATACTTTTACGATACATATATGCCTCTTTTTTCATTACATACACAGTTATCGGCCTATTTTATTACAAGCGCCACTATATCCCAAATTTGGAGGATTACAAGAAAAATATTTGACGCCATTTTGAGTTAACAGACCTGTCGACGCAATTCGGTGTTCATGACATCACGATTAAGTATAAGGGTGCGTGCTAATATGAAAGACCTGGTCGACGCAATTCTACTGGATTCCGTTCTCATTTTGTAAGGTTTAATCAAATGATGTTACTAATTTTGTACTTCTGCAAATAATATATTGTATGTAGCTGATATACACTAAAATAGTTATTTATTCTAAAATAACTTTATCTTCATCTGTACAGTTTGGTTTGATATATAAAGTTTATCATCCTATGAACAGGAAGGCGATTGCGGACGTGCCTTTATGTATTGGTACTTAAGGCTTTATTTTGGTGTACAAGAACTGTAATTATCATCTATATACCGGTAGCATGATACATTCATTATCATTGTGAGGTGTTGATATGAATATGGAAAAGCCAATGACGATAGGTTTGTTTCAAAAATATTTATTCTACATAGACACATTTCACCCCTGGGACCTTGAAAGTTGATCAAGGTCATGTTTGTTCGTAAACTTTGTTCGGCTCCAGGAATCTACAGTTGTGTTTTGTTTGTATGTTTACATCCTATTTCCTGGCGTTAAATTATGAGTCTAGGAATTCCAGTTCTTTAGGGTTTGATTTTGGTGTGAGTTTTTGTAAGGTCCTCTTGACATCTAAGGTCATTTAAGGACGTGCCTCCAGGTGTGTTGTGTATGCGCGCCTGCGTTATGTGTAGGAGTCAAGTTATGTTGGTGTATTTGACTCGTTGTTATAGCGCGGATATGGCGCCGACTTTATAGTAATATGTTACTGAAATACCATACTGAAGGCACCGAGCACAGCACTCCACCCGATCACATTATGCTAAGAACGGGTGAACCAGTTGGTGTCATTACCCTACAAGCTGAACATTAAGCACGGTATAACAAACGGCATGTTTAGGACTTTGGTATGTCCCATTACCTTCCTTACCTGGGCCAAAGTTCAACATTAAAGCCAGAGCTGAGATATTGCCGAGCAAGGCGCTAGAATATAAAAGGCAGTTACAAGTAGAGAGATATATAAAGATCCCAAATGTTGCAATCAATGCAGCAGATTTCTTCTGTTCGCTTTTATGTCCCGAACTAGAGTGCACTAAAGCAAATTCTAAATACAGCAGGGTGTTACTGCATCAGTCGACTCTTGCGATCATACAGTGGATGACAGCAGGTGTATTATTTTCTCTTCTCTTTCTTCTTTATTGTTTAACGTCCTATCAACAGGCAAGGTCACCTATAGACGTGCTTCCATGTGTGTTTTGTATGCATGCTTGCGTTGTGTGCAGGATACAATGCATGTTGATGTATTTCGCGCCTTGTGATAGCTCGGATCTGATGCCGACTTTATAGTGCTATCTCACTGAAACACCGTGCCTAAGGCACCCAGCACAACATTTTACACGGACACATAAAAATGACAACGGGTGAACGTGTTATTGTCATTACCTCAAAATGCTGCTTAAGCTGGAATAACAACTACTATTTATTTAGGATCATTGGTATGGCATGGCCTTGGGATAAAACCAATTGCCTTCCTCACTTGTGTAAACTTTCACCTTTAAAGAAAAGATTGAGAAATTACAGTGAAAATCTAGGAAATAGAAGGTAGTTAGAAGTAGATAAAAATTAAATCATCCCAAATACTGCAATGGATGCAACCGATTTCTTTTGGTTGCTTTTATGCCCCTTAGTACCAATGCAAATTCGTTATTCTGCTAGTGGGCTCCGTCATAAGTCACCTCTCACGATACATGCACTTTGTAACAGCAAGGGTGTCTAAAAGAGGAGTTCTGACACCTATAGTTTCCTTTTCATAATTAAATCGCCATTCTACTGCAGTACCAAATCCAGACTTGGTCAATGTTAACACTTAATCTTTATTTTTATTTTTTTATTTTTTTGTATATTTTTTTCATTTTTAAAGGTATTTTTTATTCAATAATCATATACACGTAGATATAAAATTTTGTTTTTATACTTCCTTACACCTATACACACGCTCAATGAATTTACATACACTCACACATCATCATCATCATCATCATCATCATCATCATCATCATCAGAAACACCATACTCAAACTGACACATCAAACCAAACATCACCATCATCATCATCATAATAATAACCACAGTGATATATCCATCATGACACAAAATCATCATCCAAATGACATCATTTTTCAATATTATTATTATCATCATCATCATGACTGAAATCATTAATATGCTAACAATTCTATCATTATCACACTGTTGTTGTCGTCATCAAACTGATATCATTATCATTTACATTATTATCATGACTTAACTCAACATCATTTTCACAATAATATCATCAACATCACACTGTTGTTGTCGTAATCAAATTCATACTTTTATCATCGTCATCATAGTCATTACTGAATTCAGCATCATTCTCACAATTATATCATAATCACCTCACTGTTGTTGTCATCATGAAAGTGATATCATTATCATCATAATCATAACCCTGCCTGAACTAAACATCATTCTCACAATAATATCATCATCACCACAGAGTTGTCGTCATCATCAAAATGATCTCATTATCATCATCACCATAATCATTATTAAAATCAACATCTTTCTCACAATAATATCATCATCACTTCATTGTTGTCTTTATTATAAAAAATCATAGGTAGCAGAGTACAGTAAAAATGGCTTGACCCTAAAAATAAAGAGCATGTCTCACATAAACATGGATAGTGAATTCAACCTGCACAACACACCTACATATATATACATTTTTATAAACTACATTTTTATTTCATTTTGTTTAGAAGCCTGCATTTTTTTCAAAAACTGTTTTCCCCAGATTTGGGACTTGTGACAACCATGGTTACCACATCAAAAAACACCAAAATATGCAAAAAAATCATGATTTTTACCCCAAAATCTGGCCCCCGCAAGTAAAATTGTTTTTCTTAAAACCCGTCTGAAATTAAATATAGCCATCTCGGTAACAGAAATACTCACGTTTTAGCAAAGGTCATTCCGGTGGGTTTTTTTTACAATATTTACACATGTGCTGAGTACAAAAATAGACTACATGAAAAGCAAGCTTTTGTTGTGTAGACACAGATTTGTAAAGGCCCAAAACTGTAGTCTCGAACCAAATTCGATTTTTTGAAAATGTATGAAACCCACATAGTCCACTTCATTATGTATATGTCAATTTTAGTGCTGATTTTTTTATTTATTTTTTGATACATGTTATATTACAGGAGTTATTCATTGTATAAAAATATCACCCATGGTCATCGTACACTGCCTCAACGTACCATTATCATCATCATAATCATGACTGAAATCTACATCATCATCACACTGGTGGTGTCGGCATCATCAAACTAATACCATAATAATATACATCATCGCCATAATCTTTACTAAAATCAACATCATTCTCACAATACTTTCATCATCACCTCATTGTCGTCGTCATCATCAAACTGATATCATTATCATCATCATCATCATTAGCATATTACCTTAAAATCATTCTCATCATTACCAAGACATTTTTGATCGTGACAATGACACAATTTCATCATAGTTATCCTCATTATACTTTCACTGATATCATCAACATGACACTGAAATCATCAT